TAGTTTAATTGTATATATATATATATATATAAATGGATATATATATGTATACATATATATATATATATATATTTGTATTCGTATTTGTATTTATTTATGTATATCTCACAAAATGCCTAACAGATATGCATTTTTACCATATTTAACATATATATATATATATAGTAGTTTGGAAAAAGAAAAAGATATGGAAAGCAGCATCTCACACTCTCGCACCGAGAACAACTTGTCTAGTACGTCTCGAAATCAAACGAGAGGCCTGACCGACTATGTGGGTGATGTAGGGTATGTTTGGCGAGTGTGTGTGCTTTTCATTACAATGGTATGTATATAAACATCTATATATTAGTATATATATATACGTCCTTGTATACATACACGTGTTGTAGTATTCATCTACATATGCATCTTTATATGTATTTGTTCATAATCTGCACGGATACACTTCCTGCATATAAACCCAAAGCGCTTTGAAGACTGCCTGCGCAATATCCGTAGTGCTTCTGAAGGGTACACAGGTATATACATTTTTAGGCTGTGCATAGGTGTATTTGTGGGCATATGTACGTCATCATAGAGTTTTAGGGGGCTTTAGGGTTTAGGAGTTTTCATTATAGATGAGGGCAGGATATCAGGGCGTCTGCACGATCACTATGGTATATATGGTGTTATTGTACTATGTACTGGTATGCGTATGAGTATGTAGTGCTATGGATTGGTGTGTGTGTGTGTGTATTTATCACTATGTTACCACAATCTAAAACCTGATACGTAATAAAAAACTGATCCTTATGAAACCCTGTAAGTATTGAGGCGATTCAAACTCTAAAACCCTATCCCCTAAACTCTAACCCTACAAAATTAAAACCCTAACATTCTAAAACCCTTAAATGTGTATGAACTGTTTCTGGACTAATATCAAATCGTTGTCCGTACTCAACAGCTCGTTTCTGTCGGTGTGGAACTCCCGTGTTAGTCGGAAGGCCAGGACATTCGAAAACGATACCGTTCTAGGCATCTTTGCAAGCGGTATTGCGGGGTATGTTCATGTTGTTGTGAAAGACTCTTACAGTCCATCTATGTATTATATCGATAGAGGATATCCAATGATCATATGCGTATATATATATATATAATTGAACTTCAATAACAAATATGGAGAACTATGTCAGTTTTACTAACAATCATGGTGAGTGATATAAGTTTCGCTTACAATTGTGGCTTAATACAGTTTCAATATAGATTATGGAGAATTATGCTGTCTCAAAAACAATTCTGTTGAATGCACACACACAAACAGAGCCACAGGCAGCTTGTCAGGAGAATCTACTCCCACCAGCACGGGCAGCGGAAGTAAACCTCGTGGTAATACTTCAAGTGGGAACTCTATGAAGGAAACGAAGATTGATATCATAGCAGAAAAACCTGCTTTGGGCGCAGATCCGGGTGCGCCTGATAATGTCGAGTTGAATGATGAGGATGGGCACATGACAAAAGGTAAGAGGTCCATTTAGATGGTAGTTAGGTGCTATTTAATGTAGAACGAATGTACGCTTCCTACTTTATGAACCGTATAGTATCGTAATAATATATG